TCACAAGCCAGGCTCACAGGCTCAGGGCTGGTGTGAGCCTCTCCTGCCTCCATGGCAGGCGGGTGGTAAGGAGTGAGAGTTCCTGGACTGCCAGAGCCCCAGACTGTGAAAGGGATGTCTGAGTGCCAGCTTAGGCCTGATCCCTGGGATTGGGCCTAAGCCAGCATGCAGACATCCCCCGAGGGGGCCCAGACTGCTAGAGGGCACATGCCGGGATGAGGGGACTCCTACTGACCCCCAGTGCACGAATGTCATGCACCAGGCCTCTAGTCAATTATAATAGCAAATCAATCATTCTAACAAAATGTATTTCCTTTATTCTTATTTGTCATGTAAAGATGTCTTTTGTAAGCTGTTATTGAATGTTCTGGTATTTACATTTAGAATGAATTTTTCTTTACAGATGGTTTTTAAATCAAAAGCAACCTAGATTTGTACTATAGATCCTATGTAGCTGAGTGAAATATTGTAGTGTAGTATATGGCATCGTTAGCTTTTATGGTAAAGAGGACTGAAAAGACTTTTGGGAGTTTCTTTATGTGTTTCTTTAACTTGCATTCAAGAGCAGTGACTATGATTTATGGTTGTCTATTGTAACCTAAATTTTAGGAATCCTACCATGGTAGTTTTGAGTTGGGAGAAATCTATAATAATAAAAGCATAATATGCTAATTAGGCCAGACAGCCGAACAACCTTTTGATATCCTTTTGGATGACCTCCCCGAACCATCAGTGGGCGAGGGGTGGAGCCAGCAAGCCTTCCCCGCCAGGCCAGCCATGGCAGTCCCAGTGCCATACCTTCTGCAGAGGCAGGGGTGGAGGGGACAAGGGACGGCACAGTCCCAGAGCCTCTGCAGAGGTGGGAAAGGGCGCTACTGCAGCGCCTCAACCTCCCACCGCCCCTCCGACGGCCAGCCTGGCCCCAGATTGCCCCCCACCCCCCCGCATCAGGGGGAGGAGGGGCGGGGTCAGTGCTAAGGAACAGTGAGCCTGGCTTCTGGTTGAGAAAGAAACACCCCCCCCCCCCCCCCCCCC